AAATGTACTTGACACAATGGATGGATGAATGGATTGTGATAAGAATTGTACGAGCCCTCAATAAAATGATTTTAAAAAAAGAGAGAGTCAACCAGGAAGCAGAGAGAGAGGGGTCCACCAAGGAGCCAGCCACATGGCCTTCCTTACCCAGAGGCTCAACCCAAACACCCAGCTCAAGGCCACGAGTCAGTGCTGACTCACAGCGTCAGCCCCGGGGGTTTCCAGGACGGTAACTGTTGACGGGAGTAGAAAGCCCAGTCTTTCTCCTGCGGAGCTGCTAGTGGTTCCCAACTGCCCGCCATGAGGTGATCGCAGCCCAGTGCTAACCGCTTCACAACCAGGGCTCCCCGAGCCCGTGATGGAGCTGGAGAAGCCCTTCCCCGAGGGCCGGTGCCCTAGAGTAGTGAGAACCCCTGGCCTCCTCAACTGTGAGGAAACCGATTTCTGTTTGTTAGAGTCACCCACTTGGGGGACGTTGTTATTGCTCTTAGTGCCCTCGAGTGGCTACTACATCCAACAGAAGGACCCTGCTCGGTCCGGTGCCGTCCTGTCTCTGCTGCACGCAGTTAACAGCGCCACGAAAGCACACAGGGTGTGTAGTGTTTGTGAGGAGCCACACAGCAGGCCTCATGCAATCCACGTTGACCTCTCTTCTGCATGGCGCTCCCCCTCCACCACCCCCCGAGCCTGCATGGGTGGACCTGGGTGTGCGGCTGACCTGGACACCAGGTGTTGAAGAGCAGGACGAAGTGGCCCAGAGTGAAGCTGGAGGACTGGTCCCCGGTGGAGGTCTCGAGGTCGAGGCAGAACAGGCCAATGGGGGCATGGGCTGGGGTGCTGAGCTGCAGCGAGAGGACGGTGTCCTGCTGGTCCACCACCGAGGCGCCCCAGGTGCCCTCCTCCACGGCGTCAGACAGCTGGAAGCAGACCTTCGTCCCGAACTCCTCGCTGGGGTCTGGGCCTGCAGAAAGAGGATGTATGGGCCATGATTGAGGGGGGCGGGCAGGGAGGAAGGAAGGTGGAGTTGGCAGGATCAGGCACACACTCATGTGTGCCCATCGGCCGCTAACCATTGGAGGAACTTGGGCAAGATGTTTCATCTCCCTGAGCCTCGATGTCCTCGGCTGTAAAGTGGGGGTCGGAGCCCCCACGTTGCAGGGTCGTTCATGGCAGTGTGTGAAAAGCAGCCAGGGGACGTGCAGTCCTGGCTTCAGCGATGTGCTCTTCCCCACGGGTGACTGAACAAAGTTCTCCTCCAGTGGACTCACTTTGTCCATCCACAGCAAGCAGGAGTTAGGGCACTTCAAGAGTCGTCCTGTGCCCAGCCTTGACCTGCACCCATCTTCCCTTACAAAAAGAAGCCAGGGCACCGACCAGGGGGTTCCCTGGTCCTAGACTGAGAGCCCCTTACCGTCTACAGCCACGGGCTGTGGCCCAATAGCTTCTGAGGCTCTTCCCGCTTCCCCCAACCCCCACTGACTGCTAGGCCCTGTGAGGGGGCTCCAAAATATTCATGGGAAAAAAGTCTACTCTCTTTTCATCCTATCTTCCCACAAACCTTTTGGAGCCCCCTCATGTTTCCAAAGGTAACTCCTAGGAGCAGAGGCAAACCATCCCTCACCACCACCACCCCTAAGTCCTTTCTACTCTTTGAGCCCTTGACACTTCCCGAACCCCTTGTAGAGTCCAGGAAATGAGGCTCAGAGAGGAAGGGATCTCCACCAGATCTGGCTGAGGTATGCAGCTACGCTAGTCTCTGCACCAGGGTTACAGGCTCTGTGGTCCCATGTGTCCTCCAGGAAGATACTAACGATTGGGGGTCTGAAAGGCACAGGGGTGGGGAGAGCTGGCAAAGACAACTGCCTTTCAGGTGAAGGAGAGGGCTGGGGACAAGCAGGCCTGAGTCATTGGATGGCAGCAGGGAGGAGAAAAAGAGCCTTCTGCCCCCGTGGGCAGCTGTCCAGAGTTTATTTTTATTCTTCCATCTCCTCCCTGCAGCCCTGCCTATCCGCTGCTCACCCAGGGGCTCGCTCCCCAGGCTGGCCCTCTCTCCCCTGCCCACTAGCTCCACCTCACACCCAGGTCCAAATATAACCATGAACTAAGCAACCATGATGCAGACCTCTCGGGCCTTGCCGGGTGCCAGAGCCACCAGGAAGCCTTTAAACACGCCTCGGTTTCCAGAGTCCCGGCTGTGGGGAGAAACCAGACAATCCTGAGGCTCAAGTGGTAGCCAGGTCTGATCCTGCCTTAGAGGCTGAGTGCTGTGTGACCTCAGCCCAGTCACCAGGCCTCTCTGGTTTGCAGTTTTCTCAGTGAAGAAGAAATAGGCTGAGAGTCCATACCGGGAAGGTCTTGTCTAAGTGCCCTCGGACTAGTTATTTAGCTTCCTGTGATTTGGGGTCCTCATCTAAAAAATGAAGTCAAGGACAGCCAACCGCCTCTCCCCCCTCCCTGATATGTTTTTCTTTTGTTTTCTTTTATTTTTTGAATTTTTTTCTTTTTAAAAAAAATTTTAAAATCATTTTATTAGGGGCTCATACAACTCTTATCACAATCCATACACACATCAATTGTGTAAAGCACGTTTGTACATTCATTGCCGTCATCA